GCTTGAAGACGTTTCACCTCTCATCCGAGAAGCTTCTTCAGTTCTAAGGTCAAATGGTGGAGAGTCCCAGATATAAACCTAGTGGGAGTTTCCCCCCACAGAGGGACAAAAGGACCCCCTGATGATCCTCTAATCGCCTGAGCCAAGGTGTGAAACTGGGTGTGGGTCCCAATCAGCCAGAGTTTCGGGTGAGCTCATTGTGAAACCTGGCCCCACCTTATCATGTGATTTCCTGAGGTCAGATGGCCCAGGATGTGAGTGGGCGTTAAGGCGTCTGGGAAGGGATCTCAAAACTGGATTATAGATGGCAGAGAGTTGGTGTCGTAAACCCCGCCCTCTGTTCAAAGATGGTCGCTCACAGTGGACATAGATGCTTCTTAAACCATCTGTTCTCTGTCTCAAAAGTCAACTTGCATCCTGAAGATGACCTTGATGACTGAGAACCTTCACAGACATATTGCCGTACATTTTGGGAGGAACACCCTTCAACTGGTGCGGGAGTATGAAAGGGAATCAAGGAAACTAGCGGATTATAGGAACCATCTCCGTTTCAACCTAAGATGTAGACAAAGCAGAGTTGTTCCTAAGAGCCTGCGCCTTGGATCCACTGTCAGGGGATACAGACAGACTTCTGGAAATGTACAACCCCACATCCGGTCTCAAACCAGGAAGTTAGCATTGTCTCGTGCACATAGTCAATTATCCAGGTAAGGAAATCGCAGATTGTGTTGATCTGGACGTTGATAAACATTTCGTCACTCACCCAAGTGACTTCTTGGATTCCATGTGAAATCCACACACCACATGGCTGGATTTTATTTCACTGGGAATAGTATGACTTATGTGAATCTCAGACTTTTCTAAACTCTATGGCTATGCCAACCAAAATAATAATTAGATAATTCAATTATTTGCATTTATAAATATCAGTATTTGCAAAAACTACTGTAAATTACTACTGTGGGGCTTTTAAAGACCTTTCCCATTTAATCTGGCTGATATGGTTCATGCTAAATTAGATGGAGAATTTAAGGGGAGTTGCACAACAGTAGTGAGCCAAGCTCCCTTCAGTCATTCATTTCTACATGAATCACTTAACAGCAAATATACTGTGCTGGTAATATGTGTTTAGCATATATCTGGTCTGGGTGGCTTTTGTTTGGGCTGCACTAAAAATAAATTAAGATGATGCATGTTAACTTCAGTTATTTTTTACATTTGCTGTAAATTCAGCAAAGTACAAAAACTGAGTTTTGTTCATAAAGACAAACACTATCACCTGTTTTTACAGGTGAGCCTTTTGTGGCTGTTACCTAATCTTCCTACATCCGAGTATACTCATGTCAAGAGCTAGACTTTCAGGGCACAGTCGCACTAGGCACAGCTACTTTAAACCACATATTAACACTTTCCTATTTTGACAAAGTAATTAAGTTGTGGTTCTTCTATTTTTAATGCTAATATTAAAAAGCCTGCCCTTTCCTTGTAAGCAATGGGTACCAGGGAAAGTCTGTTTCTATTACCTTGCAGTATTAATGTGTCAATCAAGCCTGAGGACCAACATGGCAGCTTAGAGCTTGAAGAGTCAACGAGTATCTCTGTTGTTACTTTTGTAAACTTCTAAAAAAAGTGAGTTTTCTGAATTGAGGACACCAAGATGTCCATGGTGGCCCAGAGATGGACAGTGTACATCATTGTTTCTTTCTCTCCATTCACCCCCAATATTCCTTTTGGCATGAAATATTAATTCTTTAATAAGTTCAGGTTAACATCTCTCACTTCTCATTCTCAGGGCAGAACTGTACGTGAGTAAATGTTGAATCCAGCTCTCGTTCCTTCTCGTCCTCCTTCACCCCTCATAATTTTTTGTCTCTTCCATCACCCTCCATCATTTTCTCATCCTAATTGAAATGCAGCAAAACATGTCGATGGTTGTCCCTTCCATTGCCAGAGTTACTGGCTGTAGTCTGTTTTTTTTCCTAAAGACCTGAGTGAGCATCTCTCAAAAAAGTTCACTTGTTTTTCTCACTTCTGAAAAGTATTGTTGAAAAATCTCTGCAATATTTCTGTGCAGTAAATCTGCTGTGTGTCTTGTCCCTCTGGCTGCAGGGAGTTGGCAGTTTTGGCCTTGGCTGTCTCATGTCTCCACATGTTTGCCCAGAGTAACTGGACCGGTCCTCCGGTCTCCTTCGATATCTGTGATCTGCTGACCCCAGCCCTGTTGTCATCTCAGGTATGATTTCTTCCTTCTCCTTCATCATCCTGTCCGTTCTGCAGTGATTTATAGGCTGGCGAAAATTTGAACCGACCTTTGTCAAGGTTTTGTTGATATTTTTTTTTCCATGGGCTTATCAGTAAATGTCAACATATATTGGAATTAAGTCAGTTAGCTTAGAAGTTAAACGGTGAAACTGTAATAGAGGAAACTTGAATAGTCTTTTGGGAGAAGCAAAGGAGCTGAGTGTCAGCTAAACTGAAACAGATATGTGTGATTTTCTTCATGTTTGGGGATGCAGGTTGTTTGAGGTTGATTGACCTTGCTGATTGTATAAAGGTTATTGCATTATTGAATTTCAAAGCAGAATTTACACAGCAAAATCTCTGAAATGAAAAAAAAATGCTTTGGAGACAAAGTAAAGATGTGTAAATTTCAAGTCTGCCATACAGCATCACTCTGCTGTTTAACAGAAATCCTAAAGAACCAAATCAACTTAAGATTTGTGCTTTTGTATCCGGTTGTTCAGTCTGACGTCACTAGCCGTGTCTGGGCCTAAACTCCGCTGCAGGTCCATATATCAAACGATCACTATGGCATTACTGAGAGTTAAAAACTGTCTAAAGTCTTTCATCTTTAATAAAATGATCAGCGTTCTGCTCTACCAGGTGTAACAATTGAGTTTAACATCCAGGCATCCATGAAAACGGAATTTATGACATTTAACGGAGTTAGAAGTTAGCAGGGAGTTAGCTCGCTAGCTTCTATCTAAATACAATATAGCATGTCCTGACTGCGGGGTTTTGGAAACAAATTAAAACGTACAGCTCTGTTATCACTTCCAGCATAAATGAAGACAGAAAACTAAACAGCAGTGACGTTTGTAGGGTTACTGAAGTTGGCTAGCTGGTATATAATGATGTGCTACGTGACCGCTAGCGACACAGCTATGTTAGCATAATATAAACAAGCTAACTTTTTTTCCACTCGATAAAAGTTAACGTGAGTGTTCTCGGTGGTCAGGAACAAATGTAATCGCATGGCAGGATGCTGTAAAAGGACCAAACTTCAGCCAGGAGAACAACTGAGATAATCCATCCACAATACGAGGTTAGTCATTCATATACTGCTGCATGGGCTGGGCTGTAGTTACATCCTAAGGTTTTAAAAACTGAGCTTAAATAAATGATTAGCGGTAATAAAAGCCGAGGGAGGTCAACAGTGATCACTGACTGTTTTAGGAGCTTTTTGAGATCAAATAGAAGAAAATACAAAACATTAAACATGTTAACAACACAAAAGCCATATTAAACGCAGACTACTTTAGACCCGGAAGTAGGATTCGTCGCGTCATCACTGAACAACCGGATTGCGAACATACACTACACGAACCATCACACACACACACACAAACACACCAACACACACACAGCACACACACACACGCACACACCACACAAAATCTATTGGATTCAGGTGTTCCAGTTGCTTCTACAGGTGTAAAAAATCAAGTACCTGGGCCTGCAGACTGCTTCAGCAAACATTTGTGAAAGAATGGCACTTTCAGGATCTGAGTGAATTCCACTGGTAATGTGATAGGATGCTAAACTAACTGTTTAGCATCTGTTTAATCTGTTTATCCGGTCAGCTTTGAGCAGTGGAAGAGCTATAATACTGCTAAGCATTTGGAAACGAAAACAACTTGGCCACAAAGTGGTAGGCCATGTAAAATCACAGAGCAGGGTCAGCAAACACTAAGGTGTATAATGTGCTGATGTCAGTCACTACAGGCCTTCATGTGGCCTTCAGATTAGCAGTGTAAAGAGCTTCATGAAAGAGCTTCCATGGCCGAGCAGCTGCGTCCAAGCCTTACATCACCTAGGCAGGTGGAGTGGTGTAATGCATGCCACCACTGGACTCTTCTTTGTCTGGCAATCTGATGGACGAGTCTGAGTTTGCCAGTTGCCAGAAGGAAAGTACTTGTGTGACTTCACTGTCCAAGTGTAAGGATTATAGGCTTGATTTTCAGGAGCTGAGCTCAGTCCTTCGGTTCCAGTGACAGGAACTGGAACTTAATGCTTCAACATACCAAGACATTTCAGACAATTTCATGTTTGTAAATTTGTGGGAACAGTTTGGTGGATGGCACCTTTGTGCTCCAACGTTACCAGTGCACAAAGCTAGGTCCATAAAGACCTGATAGAGTCAGGATTTCGATTTGGGATGAATTGGAGCAGAAGCTGCGATCCAGGCCTTCTCGTTCATTTCCTGACCTTACATGTGCTTCTGGAAGAATGATCAAAAATTCCCATAAACGCACTCCCACACTTGCCAGAAAAGCTATAGCTGTTATAGCTGCAAAGAATGGGCTGAGATCATATTAAACTCTATCGAATAAGAATGCGATGTCACTCGAGTTCATATTGAAGTGAATACTTTTAGCAATATAGTGTAATTATGAGAGCAGACTTTTAATTGACTAAGTTATTATTTGAAGAAGTAAGGTACTTTAAATTACAATCTAAATAACATCCCAATTCCTACTGATTGGTAAGTTTGCATATTATAAAATATATCAAGGGATCACAGTCTTGTCAAAGGGGTCAAAGCTTCATTTTAAGTTGGTGTATAAAGTGACCTGAATCGAGCAGAGCCAGACGGAGCTCTGTGGACTAGAGCTCAGTACTGAAGCATCTCTGGAGTCCTAATTACTTGGGTTTAGGAGATTGCTTCCCCCTGGCACTGCGATACTGTGAGCACAATAGAGCATTTCACCCTGCCATAACACCAGAAGAGAGGACCAATCCTTTTATCAAAGTAATTTCTTTGGTGTCAGTGATTTATCTCTGCTGTCACATGAAGGAGGCTGCAGTATGAAGCAGGTCACCCATACATGTGTGGCAGCATGTGTGAAAGGGAGGACAAACATGGCAGAGCCATAATCGTGTGGAATTAATTCTGATAAAAAAAATTAAAAAAAGTTAAATGCACTTCTGAGTCCGATTAATGTAGATGATCTTTTTCAAGATGAATTGTGACAACAAACAAACAAACAAACTAGGGAGAAGGGTTAAAAAAAAAAACATCTAAAAATCCGTTTTAGTCATGGGCTGCTAGGACACTTGAATAGAACAACTCTTAATGTGATGGTAATAAACACACTGTTTTCCTACAAGTTTGAGTGCCTGCTGTGAAATGAGTTTTTCTTGCACTGTTGTTGTGAAGGGGAGCCTGGATTTCATCTCTCATTCATGTTAGTGAGACGAGAGAGTGTGACGGAGAGGATGACACCATGAATTTAAGTAACTGAAATGACTCTGCATGTATGCTTGGCACAATCACCTGAGAAGAGAACATGCTGTAAAACTGGGAAACTTCAGTAAAAGCTGACTCGGATCTAGCTAAACAATTGTCATTCAGTGGGTGGACAGCTGTATTGCATGACGAACGACTTTGACAAAACATGTTGAAATGCCATCTAACTTAGTGTTTGTAGTGTAATAGGCAGGTCCTTTTTGTGCCTTAATGTGCCTTTAGGCTTCTAATCAACAAAAAGTTGATTTGCAGAGCTAGGCTGAAGCAGCAGCGGCGACTCAGCAATAAAGAAAGCAGTCCTAATGTCAGACCTTCATTTTTGTCAGCCATTTGTCAGTGTGAGTACTTAATCCTAATTTCCTGACTAGGAGCCTCAGATGCTGGTTGATGCCATCCACTCCAGCCTGCTCCTGGATGGGGAATCGGTGTATAGCCAGGTGGCCAACCCCTTTCTCCTACTGTTGGCCAGGGTAATTGTCACCAAATGCTTCCCCAAGATGGATAGGCTTCAGGTAAGTCAGTCTTTCTGTTACAATGATCGTAGAATTATCTGAACTTATGTATTCATTATAAATATATGCATTATAATAATAATTTTCATTGATGTTTACTTGTGGCCTGCAGAATCTATTTAAATCAATTTTACAAGTCATTGTGTTGTTTCCATACATAACGAATCCATCCAAAAATATATGCTATGCACTGATGACACAATCTACACCAGAGATGAAAACTGGAGACCAACTCACATCTACTTCATAACTTTTACGGTCACTACCTCAATAGGATGTGTGTTTGTAATTGTTAAGTCTAATTGTTGAATGTTGTCATTG